CCGTCGCAGCAAGTGTTTTCTTCTGTAGGTATATTTTCATCCCTATTGTGAAAATTAGATCTCTGGGGTGACAATACACTGGATATAAACACTAGCAGACTCAAAAATTAGAAGTGCACAGTCTTAAGAGATAGAATTGTGGACTGTCTCGGTTCCCTGCCTGGCTCAATCACTTACTACAAATCCTAGGGGAAGTCATGAAAGCTTAGCTCTTCATCTGTAAACTGAAGACAATGATAGCTCCTTCCTTTCCCCCTCCCTTTACTGTTGTTCTCATGTTCTTTATCTGACAGGGAATTTCAGTGATAAATATATTCAATGTCAGCCCATCAACAAGGGATGCCAATGGGACTAGATGACTGGTAATTTAAAATAATGTCTACCTGAAATATAACAAATTTCTGGAAAATTTTGTGTTCTGTATAAAGTTCCCAATTCTCACTCTGATAAAATAATCACTGGAGCCAAGGTGCTAAAAAGAAACAAGGTTTCTCTAAAAAACCAAGAGGCAATGTTTATGTTAGCATATCTAATGCTCCTCAAAGAAATTCCCCAAACACATGCAAAGCTACCCGCAAAATGGCTGTTGGATTCCTTGTGATTTTCGATATTTCTTAAGTTTCTTGTATCTATTTTCAAGGGTCAGGGGAACAAATTAAATGCGTGTGTACCGGATGTAGCTCTGTGAGAAGTGGAAATAAAGGACTGTCGATCTTGGCTGTACCTGGGGCTCTGTAGAAAAAATCCCTGACAATGATGGCCACCATAGACATATCTATAGATATATTAGCAATTCAGCAAGGCAAGTCAGGAAAAACCCCAAGTAACTTATACCTGTTCCAGACTCCTTACCTGATCTTTTCCCTAGCACAGTAGTAAAAATCAAGCACTTAATCCCTTTCAAAATCCAAAAGACCTGTGACTTTAGTAATTGCTCTTTTATATGATGCTTAGGTAACCACACACACCCCCCATCTTGACCAAAAGGTAATATTAACCTGAAATTATAGTAAATTGCGGTGATTCAGAAAACAACAAATCCTAAAGAGCATGTGGGAAAATTGTACCTTCATGTCCTGCTGGTGGGACTGGAATAGGGCACAACCTCTGTTGAAAACAGAAATGCCATTTGAGTGACTTTGGGCCAGATGGCAGACTAGGCAGGAATGCCACCCAGGCAGTCTCAACAAAGATCTGAGCAACCAAATAAAATGGACAGAAATGATCATCCTTGAACTGTGAGCTTCAGAGGAAAGAAGAGAGATTTGGATGCAACACTAAGAGAACAGGCTGGACAAAGACTGACAAGAGACAGGACAAACAGGATGAGTGAATTATCAGCTGGCTTGAAACTGATAAATAGTTACTGGAACCATAAACGCTCATGAGTGAGTGGCCATAAAAGTTGTTGCTATTGGTTTATCCTTGTCTTGAGGAAAGCAGTAAATATGATCAACGGCACATGGAGACAATGAGTCAAGTGAACGAATGGATTACGTGGACATCCGTCTCCTCCGTCCTAAACCAGAAGAACTAAGCCCTTACCAAGTGCTCCACTGCCTGCCGTTCCAAGCCCATCTTATAGGGAAGGCCTTGAATAGAATGGAAGGAAAGCGTGGAACAAAACTCAAAATCATAAAAGATGTTAGGCTTCCTGGTTAGATAGAAACTGGTGGGATCCTCCTAGTCACGCATCAGATCTGGAATGAAACACCTTCATGGCTCCATTTTTATTAAAGCAATAGGCATATCCATATGGGGAACAATAACATCAGAGAGGTACAAACACCATTGACCCAATAGCCATTTGAGATGTTTGTAAAAGGCAGCATTTACCCAAGGAAAAGAATTCAGAAAGAATAGCAGTGAGATGATTTTATGCCAAATTGAAGATGTATGAAAGCTGAGGAGTGGAATTCAACCTGTCAATCATGTCCCAGCTTCATGCTGCCTCCTGGGGGCTTTCTTATAAACCAGGAAGCTGGGAAGCTCCCTGTCTTTCCGCCCTGCGAGAACTCTCCCTCCCTGGAGGGGGGGGGGCGCACAAGTGGACCCTGTTTCTACTGACCTTGGATCCACTGACTCTGGCCTCCACCCACCAGCCTGTCCTCTTCTGGCCTCCTGCTTCCCGCTTGCAGCTACATGAGTCTTGAGAGGGACTTAGGCACTAGCATCAGATTTATGGACTTGAGTTGGACTGGGCTCTGGTGCCTTCTTGATATAGAATTATTTCTTGACATAAAGTTATTTCTTACTCATATGTGAGCACCACTGGATTTGTTTCTCTAGACAGCCTGGCCTGTCACAGGAGGGTGATGAACAAAAGAGGAAGGGAAACAGGAACAGAGGGAGTGCGTGGGAGAAGTGATGGTGCATGGTGGTGATTGCGATCAAAGAGATGAACAAAATGTACACGAATTGAATGAAAAACAGATCTACTCTCTAAACGTTCACAATTTCACAGTACAAAGGTTTTTGGAGTGTTTTTTTTTAAAGAAATACCATTGTATCCAACAACCCCATGACTACATATCTCTCCTAAAGAAATAAGAACTGGAATACATATAGATACATGTATACCAATGTTCACTGTAGTATTGTTCACAAGAGGAAAGCAATGGCGACCACTTAAGGGTCTATCCATGGGTAAGTAGATACAAAAATTATGGTACATACACAAAACAGAACACTTTACAATAGTAATGAATAATGCAGAACCAGACAGTGTGGATGGAGAGGGAAGAGAGAGGATGGAGAATCACTAACTAGATAATAGACATGAAATAATGTGGGTGGAGAGAAAGACAACATACACTACGGGATCATCAAACACAATCTCACTGAAGAAAAGGATATATACCACCTTGCATTGTCGTAAATAACAAACATTAATCTATAATATATAAGGGCAGTCAGGCAAGACAAAACTACACATACATTTGGCAGACAATATATCTACAAACCTGAAAGTATTTGTATGTTCTACAAATATATATATATATATTTATAATAGAATAAACAGTACCAAAGGAATGTAATCTTCTTACCTATAACCACATATCTGGAGGGACTGGGTTATTGGGCTAGTCACTCACTGAAGATTCATGGAAATAATTATTTCAAAGGACTAATGGATCACACAAAACTGTCTTCACTCTCCCAAGGCCAGAAGAACTACATGACGTCCACCCCCTATTGCTGACTACTACGAAGAGGATCACACATACAAACAAATGTTGAGGCCACATCTGACCCCCCCTGGCTACACAAAGAAACAAAGAAGGAGAAGTTAGCTCCACATGGGCCCCGGCCGGTTTCCACGAGACAGAGGTATATGTATTTCTTTATATGTATTCTGATGCCCACTTCTCCCCGCACAACACTCTGCTATTCTGCTGAGTTCAATAGCGCATTATAGTGGCCATGCAGAACTCAAAGTCAATACTCACAGTGATGGGTGATTGTGAGCAAAGTTAACAGATTACCACAAGCCAGGATCCGAAAACCTTAATGGAACAGCCTTTTGGCCACAATAGTCCCTCTCCTCATTCAACAGCCAAGTCTCCCTCTTTCTCTCTGGGCCTAAGGCTCTCAGCCACATGGTCCATTGGCCTCTGGTCTCCATAAGCCAGGAAGCCCACCCCTTGCTCTACATTCCTCTGAGCTCATAGTCTCAGAGCTATTCCTACCCTCTCCCTCCTGGCCTCTTTGATTAGGCCCCTCGTGTCCTTGTGGCAGGCTCTTTTTTCTCTGCCTCTTAAAGCAGGAAGAGATCTACCCTGTTTCCCCAAAAGTAAGACATCCCCTGAAAATAAGACCTACTTACAGTTTTGCCTCTTGCTGAAATATAAGGCATCCCCCCCCCAAATAAGACCTCCCCGAAAATAAGGCCCCCTGAAGCTACCGTAACTCTGAACTCTGGACCGTAGCAGCGGGCTCCGCTGCACAGCTCACTGTTGGCCACAGCGCAGCCGGAGGAGACAGGAAGTGCGAGGTCTCTTTTAATAAAACAATAAATGTGTACTGTATTCTTCTTCATGGAAAAATAAGACATCCCTTGAAAATAAGACCTAACACATCTTTGGGAGCAAAAATTAATATAAGACACTGTCTTATTTTCAGGGAAACAGAGCAGAACATACTCTGCTACTGGCTCTTCTTCCTTAGTGGTCCTGAGTGTTCTCTCTCTTCCTGATTCTAAGATAGGAGAATGGCAGCCAAAACGGACCAATCCCTTCTATTTACATTGTCTTGCCAAATCATTTGGCAGTTACAGAAATAGGGATAGACGAATCATATTAAGAAGTTTCATTTCAACCACAGATAACAATAGAGGTCCTTGAGTCAAGAGGAAGAGAAAGGTAGAAGAAAACTCAAAATAATAAAGAAGACCACGTTTGCTGGTTTGACAGGGATTGGTGAAATACTCAGTCTATTGTCCTTGGTCACTCTTCAGGACAGAACTGAACTCAGTCCCATGGTCAAGCAAGAGATAACACGATAGTGTGAGCAATCAGACCAAGGTGCGATAGTGTGAGTAATCAGACCAAGGTGCGAGGACGACCATAAAATAAACAATGCCCTAAAACTGAAAGGCAGCGTTTACCCTGAGATAAACCTCAGAAAACAGGAATGGATAAGAAAGAAGGGTGAATAGAAATGCTGACCACAAGAAAGAGGTGCAAGAGTGCTGTTACATTGTAGGGGGTGAAACAATGCTAAGATACAAAATGTTGATGAATACTTGAATGGAAAACCAGCTTGCTCTGTAAATCTTGGCTCAATTACATTAAAAAATAATAATGAATAAATAAAAAGTGCCATAAAAGGTCCCGTTGATATTCTTTTTCTAATTTAGATATCTGCAAAAGCTTCCGCATATTCCATTGACCTACAGTTTGGAAGTTATAATTTCAAATAATCAGAATTTCTACTAACTCTGACTAACACATCAATCAATTACAAGTCCAGTATTTTTTGTTACAACATCACATACATACTTAGTTTTTATTTCATTCTCTTCATGTACATTAGGATCGATTCCATTTTCTCTCCAGATGCTCCAATAAATATTATCATCTTCATTCACCAAAGCAGAGCAGTTGAGCTGTTTATCTTTTCCTAGGTAAAAGTTGAAAATCAGTAGCTGTATTTTAGGAGCTTAGATTTTCCAAATGTTTTTAATTAACACAATTATTTAAAATTAATATAAACAATGTATATTACCGGAGCAAACACTCAATGTGGTGCTATATCCTAGAAAGAATACAAGTACGCCTTGTTTTAAGGAATAAAAAGCATATATAAGGTAGACAATTTAACAAGCATTCTATCTTCAGGATATACAGCATCTTCTACCAACAAAAAAAGCAAAGGTCAGGTTTACTTAAGACAGTGGACTTTTCCTGTACATGCATAATTCAGCACACAGTCTTAGGCCACTACTCAACTGAAAATGCTGGAAAAGGATAGGAGTTGGGTAAATCAGACAAAGCAACGTATTAAAAGCATCGATGTGCATGAAAACAAAGAAAAAGACTTGAGGTGAAATTACATTTAGGATAGAGTCCTTCTTAGACGAGCTGAGACTGTTATTTTAATTTTTTTCAGAAGAAACTCAAGGAGAAAATAAACAACTGTAAAGTGGAGTTTTTGACAGCCACTTGGGATGGCATGGTGGATAGGAATCTGGAAAATCCCAAGCTCTGGATATTTTTGAAGAGCTTGGAAATCCTGCAAAGGCAGAATGAAATCTCCCCCGACGCATGCTACCTGGGAAACCAACTCCATGAGAAGAAAGGCGTTGCCACAGATGCATGCCTGTCATCTCCTGCACGTTTTTGGAAATGAGAGGAAGATCAAACCTAATGCACCTGCGACGGAGCTACCACCCGCTCAGCCCCTTGCGTAGACTAAGATGAATCCCTCTCACCCGATCTGCCCAGGGGAGTAAAGAGCAAACATTTGTAGAGGAAAACAACATAAATGGTATTCACTTTAGTTGTTTAATACACAAAGGTCAGGATATCATAGTAATATTTTTAAAACACATGCAAGGAGAAAGAAAAATGTAAAAAGTGATCAGTAAGTGCTAGATAATGAAAGCAGACCCATGAGTGATGGAGAATGCTGGGTTTTGTAGAGAAAGACTTTGAAATGTCTATAGTTTGTATAAGATAAAGAAGAGATGGACAAAAAGATGAAAATAGACAGTTACAAAATAATATTCTATTAAAAATCAAATCTACATTCAAGACCTGAACACAAGAGCAAATGAAATGAGGAGCCCATCAAGTGAGTCGAAAATCTGGTTGGACATCAAAGATGATGGAATTATTTAAGTTGGATTTAGGTAAAGACCCAAACTACACCATATAGTGAAAATGAAAATGTCATAGCAGAAGACTCATGTGGAACATCGAAAATCCACATAATTGAAATTCCAGAAGGAAAAGAACTGGGGAAAGGGCTAAAAGAAACATTCAAAGTGATAATGGCAGAAAACTTTCAATGTTGGTTAAATAAGTCCACAAGAAGCTCAGTGAAATTTACACAGCCATATCAAAGTCAAATATGAAGATGAACTATTTGAAGTCTCCAAAAGAAAAACATATTGCTAAACGAAGTCTATTTTAATATATTATTGCATGATGTATGATCTGTTCTTATAGCTGTTGTATAATGTGTTGTGAAATATAATATAGTTATGTATTAATATATATAGTTTATATTAACATTATAATAAATAAGAGAAAAAGCAGCCAACAAGACTACAGGTTAACTTCGCAACAGAAATTAAGACTGCTAGTGAACAACGGGGCCTCTTTCAAAAGCAGGACATAACTGCAAACCTCGAATGCACTATCAGAATAAAACATTCTTCAAAACTGAGAGCAAAACAAAGGTTTTCCAAGTCTTACTTCGCTACCAGAAGTACTACAAGTGAGTGGTTTTAAAGAAGAAACACTCCCTTTGTCCCAGCTCAGGAGGATAGAGCACTTGCTCTAGAGAAAGGCTCTCTATGGGTCCTAGGACAGGGATCCTCAGATTCTGGGGAATCCCTTTCTCAAATTCTCTAGCGTCATCATTCTTCATTTTCCTTAGCACGCTCCATATGATATCCATCTTTCCATCATTTTTTCTCTTGTGTTTTCATATCAAGGAAAACCCTGTTTCCAAGAATTGCATGCATAGCTATCACAGTTTACAAAGACAATGGTCTACATTCCACTTGGGTCAATAGAGCCTGGGATCTTAAAGTCTCACCAGCAGCCATCTAAAGGGTAGTCATCGTTTTCTCCCCATGCAAAGGAGAGAAAAATCATGAAATTCAAAGGATTTATGGAAACAATTTGTCCAGGGAACTAATGGAACATGCGAGGCTGAGACCAGACAATTTACATAGTGCTCAGCTGCCATTGCTTACTGCTCTTCAAGGATCACTTTAGAATGTCCCAGATGGAGTGGGAGAAAAATGCCGAACAACACTCAAACTCATAAACGAGATCAGGCTTCCTGATCGGAAAGAGATAGGTGGGACTCTGGAAAATATGGCCCTTAATACCCTTCCGGATTGCAACTGAACTCACCCCAGTAGTGAGATAGCCAATCCATTAATATCAAAAGGGCACATTTTCCCAATGTCAAAGTTCAGAGGATTAGGAAAGAAAGGAGGAACTGAAACAGAAAACACAAGGAGAAAATGAAACGGGAGATGGAACAGTAAGGACGCTGCAATGAATGAGTTGAAACAAAAGATGGATAAATTATTGAATATAAACCTTATTATCTCCTCTATACATCTTCCTCTAACTGAAAGTTTTTTTTTTAAAGGGTGTGTACTTTGGACATGTTCAACTCAGACTTGAATCTCTGATATGCCACTTTCCAACGGTTTTATTTTAAACAAATTCACCTTTCTGTGCTTCAGATTTTCAATCCATAAAATTGGAACAATACCCCACAGCAATGTTTGGAGGGTTTCATTCAGTAATATGATGCAATCATTTAACATATTGCCTGATTCACTGCAGGTACTTGGAGTTGTTATCATTAAACCCAAACCCAAGCGTGCTGCCATTGAGTTCATTCCAAGTCAGGGCAACCCGACAGGACAGAACAGAATTGCAACTTTGAGCTTCTAGAGCTGTAAGTCTTTATGGAAACAGAAAATGTCCATTTTTGTCCTGAGGCTTGTCTAGTAGGCTCAAACTGCAGGCCTGTAGTTAGCAACCAAGTGTGCAGCGCTGTGCACCCACAGGGCTCCTGTTGTTATTGTCATTGCTGCCGAACTGATCCTGACTCATGGATTCTGACTTGGAAGCAGGTAAGTCTGTCCTCATCTGAGGGGGCTCTAGAACCAGCTCTTTGGCCAGTTGTTTGTGAAGCACTTAACCGCTTGCACCATTCAGGGACTGCAGGAAGTAAGTGCTCAGCACACGTGCATTTCTTCCTTTGCTTTTGAAAAGCAACTTTCATCAACTGGACATGTTGACTCATACAACCTGTCTATATAATTCCCATTCCCAAATATGTAGCCAAGTTAGTAAATTGATGAACAATTCAGTTACTCAACCTGCATAATACATTCTCCAGAGAGTGCTCCCTAAAGTTCTGCTATTGGTTGAAATGTGTCCCCCACAAAATTTGTGTCGAAAATCCTAAACCCTGTAACACTTGGCTGTTAAACAAAAGGACAGTGGTATAAACCCACTAGCTACTCCATCAGAGAAAACATGTAGTGTGTGCTTCAATTATGATTACAGCATTGGGCTCGACTCTGTCTTATGGGATCTCTATGAATCAGGATTCAATTGTACAGCAATGGGTTTGTTGATTACACACACACACCCCTTCTCCTGGTGATTATAATCCCATTTGGGAATAGGTTTTCTTTATTCTGTTAATGAGGAAATATTAGTGGTGGTGAAGTCTAAAATCAATCCTATCTGGTGCCCTGAATTGGAACTTCCAGCCTCCTAGCTGGAGAAAGACTCGACTTTCTAGTCCCTTAAAGGGTGACAGTCTCAGACACTCACAGGGGCAGTCCCACCCTGTCCTATAGAGTCTCTATGAGTCAACATCGATTCAATGGCAGTGAGTTGGTTTTTTGTTGTTGTTCTTAACTCTGAGAAAAGAAATCTGTTTGTGAAAGCAACCCACTTGTGCTATTTCTTTTACAGCATCACTAGATCATTAAGATAATTTTGATATTCAGAAATATTATGGAAATATCACACACAGCATTCAACACTTCAGTCTATACATCAGTCACCTCCATTGTTTTTGGACAGACTGTCCCTTTTAATCACTCTAAGGTGACAACACTCAAACAATGTCATGTTATTTCTGGCATTTATAACTTTTTACTAAAAGTGAGATGTGTTGCCAAAATGAATTGATCAAAATGGATCAGATTTACCCATAGGAGAATCACTTATGCACCCTATTCACAAACACAAAATATATGTAGATCAAAATATACCTAATTCCACTTCAATCTCGTTAAACTTTGATCCATAAAGAACCGGAATTATATTATTGCGATCTAAAGTGACAAAAGAAAAGAAAAAATCATTAGTGTTGTAAAAAAATGTCTTTAAAACAAACATTGATATAGTTGTTATTTCTAGTGTAACAAAGACTTTACTGTTCACTGCTTTACATGTACTTTAATGCTGTTTTCACAGAATAAAAGTTGTACGTAATGTTGTTTGCTGGCTTACCTTCTATCTACTCCAGGTTTTTGCAGACAAGAATAGGATAATGAAACCATTAGAAGGAAGATTATATTAGTAGCCAAGTCTGCACCCCCTTAGTACATCAGTGTATGTATCTGGCATGACTGGTATGCTTCTGAAGTATTTATTTGCTGGTTGCATGTTGGTTTTAAAAACATGTATGATCACTGAGACTATACCACTGATGAACAGCTAGGTGAGTGTTGATCATTGTCTGTCACAGATTCAGGGCTGCTGGAGTAGGTAGGGGTATTTGACTTATTGGTTGGGTGGAGGATTTGGTTGGGTAGGCTCACTGGCTCTCAAGCTTTCTGTTCAGGATCCCAGAATTGTCTTCTATGTCTAGTTTACTTGTTTTCTCTGGTCTTTGGTGTAAAAGAGATACGACAAGACATCCAGCTCACCCTCTGATTTGAACACTGTCTCTAAATGTAGATTTCTCCTATTTCCTGTCCCACATGAACGATGGAGGTTTTCACAGAATAAATACTGAAGCGGAGAAAACAGTGGGACTGGGCACCCCTCCCTTGCTATTCATCAGACTTGCATATCCCTACAAGGATTCTTAATAAGAGGAAAGCAGAGGCAGAAGTCTCAAAGAAGGAGATGGGAAATTGGAAACAGAAGTCACAGCAAGAGAGATCTTGAGTTAGATAGACAGATATGATGGTGACATACACTGAGCTTTGCAGATTTAGAAGTACACGGATCCCTAGAGAAGCTGAGGAAAGTACGGGATGCAATGTTAGGAACACTTTGATTTCAGCTTAGTCAACTCAGTTTAGACCCTCCACCTACAGAAATGTAAGATAATAAATTCTATTTTTAAGCCACTATAAAAAAGCCCAGGAGCAATACATGAGCATATAGTCATATTAGTGGACAGTTGAAGTGAAGAGGGAAAAATTGTTGCTAGCACAGAAGAGATACATAACTCTGAGTCCATGATTTTGTTAAGTGAGTTATCCAGCTGGGGTTTAACATTTCCCAATATGATGGAGAGAAGAGTGTGAAGTGCAGAATGGATAAGCCATCTATCTTCAAATGCTTGAAGGAGTGTCCTTTTCAAACAGAACTACATTTAATTTGTCATATGCTCCTCTAGCGAGTGGGAATGACCAGCATGCCTATTTAGCCTTCATGGTGGGGTGGAGGAGGGAATTTCTCAATTAAAACTATTAGAATCTGTACTATGCTTCTGTATGGTGTGCTAACTTATTTTGTAATTCCCAAGAAGGATGAGAATGTATTGACTGTATCATATAAAGGATATTTTCACTAAGTGAGGTTTAATTAATTACCTCTAAGATCCTATCTGAAATGTTATACTTCTGCCTCTCTGTGATACATACTCTGGGTTTGTGGCAAGCTAGACAATGAGCCATCGACCTCAAACGCTCGGCACTGTCTGTGTACTCCTGTCGTTCTTTCAACCTTGAGTGGTCATTCCTCCTTGGGATGTCCTCACACATCAGCTCAAAGACCCAGCTCAAAGAGAGGTGCTTGCTGAACAGTTGCTTTATCCCCTCATCATGTTCTTGACACCTCACCGAGGGCACCTGTTGGACACGCCATAGTACCTGTATGTGGCTTACTGGCTCTTCTGGTTCATAAATTCCTTGCAAACAGTTTGCTGCCTACTTATTCATATTTTATCTTTCTCTATCTATTAGTGCTCAGTGGATGTATTTGGCATAAACTAGTGCCAATTCAGACTCAGGGCAACCCCGCGTGGGTTGGCATAGAACTATGCCGCATAAAGTCACATCGCGGGTATTTCTGGAGTAGGTTGTTGGGCCTTTCTTTTCAGGAGCCTCTGAGTGGACTCAAACCCCCAACCTTGGTTAGTGTGTTAACGGGTTGCACTCGCCTCCCCCACAGACACCTTCTTCAATAGAGAGATCCTTGACAAATACAAAGGGCTTCTAAAAGCTCATGGAAAAGGGAATTACATGATAATGGAATTTTTTCATGAAGTTTTGCAGCTCTCTTACGTCTGTTCAGTGAAAGAGCCTACAATTTAACAATGAGAGATTCCAAAATGTACACAAATTCCACATAAGGGAGAAAGAGCTGACTGAGGTCCATTTTACTCATACAAACTTTCACTGAGACACAACAACCACAAATCTGCCCCATGAATGGATGCCAGAGGGGAGAAGTTGGCCCTGATATTTAAAGTTGTGTTGTGATCACAGCACTATGTCTCCTGTGCTACTTTAGAAGAAAAAAATTAAGTTTTACTCAGATACGTTTGTTTCCTCCAAATTCTAAAATACATCTTACCTCCAGTTACTGATACATTGAAGGTATTGGTGACATTGAATAGTTTCCCATTATAATGAAGAGAATGGACACAGGTGTAATACCCCATATCTTGAAATTCTGCATTCATTTGAGAATTAAATGGGTTTTTATTGTTCTCTGTTATCTCTCGACAGTCCTGTTTTTTTTAAAAAAAGCAAAGCAAAGTTCAAATAGTAACAATTCAAACTTTTACGATTAAAAACCTTTCAAGAAAGAGAAAGACAACTAGCAATTGGGGAGTACAAGTCCCACTGGTCTGGCACTATTTCTAGTGGAACAATGACACACCATCCTGTTGCTGCCTCACCTGTACATCATTCAGATCTCCGAGGGAAGGGGCCAGAGTGGTCACTGTAAGCATTTTTGTCATTTACTTTCAATCTCTTTTTCTCAGTCTTCCTTCCTCTCACTCTGTCTTTCACAGAGAGAGAGAGAGAGAGAATAATCTAAAAGCCCCTGCTTGGGTCAAAACATTCAGGGGAAAACATTCTCTTTCAGAAAACGTACGGTGTAATTCTGTGTTCTCAGAATGAACCATCGGGAGGGTGTAGAGTAGAGATAAGAGCAGAATTACTCAGAAAACCAAGTCCCTAGCAAATGACAAACTTCCCTTGATATTTTCAGAAAACAGTGGACTAAACAAGAACGAATCAAAATAAACAAATCCAAAGACACATTCAAGCGTCTGTCTCAAGCATCCATATATATCACACAAATTATTTTAAAAACTAAAATAATGTTGTCTCCTTCACCTATAGGCCTCCAGTCACCTATAGGCAAAAGCTGAAGCAATCCAGGGACCAGACAGACAAAAAGGAAGGGGAATTGCTTGCCCTCGCCATTTGTAGGACTCCTGCCAATACCAAATGGGAGGGGCAATTCTCTATTGACCGGGACCTCGCCCTCCAAGTAGATCAAAGTGGCAACTGGTAGTAATCTCAGTTGTGGTTGAGAATCATGCACACATGTACCTTGAATCCCTAACTTGTCTGTGCATATTGCAATTTTTATAAAGCACACTGATTGTTTCTAAGCCTGAAACCATCATCCCCAGCCATTGCTGTTAAGCTGACTCAACTCAAAGTGCTCTCCTCTCTGTCCGAGCACCGCCGGGCTCCACAGCCTTCTCATTGACCGATGTTTCAGAGGACATCACTAGCACTTTCTCCTAAGGGACCTCTGGGTGAGCTTAAACTTCTAATCCTTCCATCAGGGGCACCTATTAAAATATTGGAGAAATTGATTTTCACTTCCAATCACCTGTACTGATCTGGTGCTCTTCTTTCCCTCCCCTCGGATAGGTGATGCTCAACACTCAATGCTTTTCCTAAAACTTAAACCTATGGTGAAGTCTAGGCTTAAACATAGTCTTGATATCTGTGCTTTCTGAATGTAAGTATCAGCACATTAGGATTTCTTAAAAACCATCATGTGAAAGTGTATAAATTCACATGTGTGGCAAAAATACCTACATTACATTTGACAGGAAACAGAGTAAGGTCAACTCAGCACTGACTCAAATGTTCAGAAAACCTCTCAGATAAGAGCACTCCTTGAAAAATCATAAGTAAACAGCTTTCAAGTCAAAAATACAAACAAAAGTTTCTGGGAAATCATCAACACGTGCTTAAACTTCCCCAAGTTGTTATGTTCAGACTAACCGCTCACAAGTCCTTAAACTGTCCGTGACAGAGTGCAATTAGTCCAGCTTGTTTCTCTTTAGAAAGGATCCACTTGCATTCATCTCTCTGTCTGTCTGTGTGCGTCTGTGTGTGTCTCTCCATAGTAATGTCCCAAAGAGTTCTTACAAATCATCACGAAAAAGGTACATCAATTGAGAAAAGTGGACAAAGGAAATTAACAGGTAATCCACAAAGTGGCAAGTACTGAGTTTTAATAAATACATGAAAAAATATTAATTTATTATTAGGAAAAGAAGTACAAAAGCAAGCAAAGAGTTTCACAAATTGTTTATGCCAGACAGATGTTGGGATAGGCTACACTTCTCCCTCCCTAGTACGAGGGAGTGTAGGGTGCATGTCAGGACAGGAACTATGTCAAATGTCAACGGTCTTTGGAGATGTACATGTTTATAGCTTATTAACAAAGAGTGGGAAGTTGGCAAGGCTCCCAAGATAATAGTTTGCTGATATGCATAAACCTGATTAGGTTACTTTAGTTTTAGGGATCTGCTTGATGTGCGGGGAGAGACTCATGGCGCTCCTTTTAGAACTAAAAATAGGAGGAAAAATAGAACACTCAGAAATGTCTCATATCAATGGGATTAGTTGGATCAAATCAGGTGCTTACATTACATGCAAATCAAATATTACATGATTGAATGTTCCAGAATGCTGGGGAATGACCACAATAAGATTTTAGTGCAAAAAATTGAAGACACAAGTTATTTAAAATACCTTTTTTTTTTAGAAATGGGTGTTGGCTTAAGACCCAAAGTCTCCAAAGTATCTGGTTATAGATGATCATTTCTTTAATCATGATTCTTGTATCATATACTTTTATATAATAAACTCTTATTATTTCAACATTCAGGGGAAAAAATACCTAACACAATTTAAAAGTCTAAGTAAATATGGAAGAAAAAAACAAAACTCTTTAAACTAATGTTTCTAGAAATCAACGTATTGAGAAGAAAGGAAATTAATGACAGCATAGGGAAAGGAAGGTGATTATAATTTACTGAATCCCTGATGTGTTCTAAGAAATCCCTTTTGTGGTGCAAAAGGTTACATGCTCTACTACTAACTACAAGGTTGGGATTTAAACTGACCCAGGGGGAAAAATCCCTGGCAATTTGCTTCCTAAATTTCATAGCCTTCAAAACTCTAGGATTAAAGTTCTCTGAGACACATGGCATCACTCTGAGTCAAGTATACTTGGCAGGACCTGGTCCTTGGTTTGAGGTTGCGGTCCGGGCACTGTGCTATACTGACCGCGGATGAAAGGACTTCAAAGAGTTTGTGGAAATTTTGGATCAATAGATAACACAGTTTCTCCACAAACTTTTTGAAATCCCCTCATATTAACTCCGTGAAGACATTTAACTCCGACCAATAGATTTGTTTGTTACAAGACCAGAATGCCATCAGACACTCATTTTGCCTTTTCTACCAAATGTGTAGTTGAAAGCATTACCTACCTTATAGAATGATGTTCTCTGGACCCATTTTTTATAGTGATGATTTCCACACCGTAATTCTAAATTCTTTTTAACTTCCACGCTTTTACTGGTTACCCGGTTTTCAGTAAAGCATCGGTGTTCATTTCTGCTGATAACCATTAGATTCCAGTTCCAAGTGTCATTTCTAGAAAACAAAAATTTAAAGGTATTCTATAATGACCACAGAGAATTTGGAAATACCACCCTCTTTCCCCATAGTAGCAAATCTAATAAGTTTTGCTTTTATTGTTATTTCTGAACACAGAGGCTCACTAGACTCTTCAAAAATACCACTCTTTTCTCCTCTTGGCTCACAGCAGTAAGAAATTTAGCAGCTGTCAAAGAATGTATGCAGCAGGTGGTGGAGAAAAAACAAACCCAAAATAAAGTAATCTAAACACACGAATATACACTGACGACTATCTCTTGACTTATGTCAGAACAGTAAATATTTAAAACTTCAGTGTCCTTTGAAGATGTACACATTGAAAGCTTATTAAAAAAGAATGGGGGTGGCATGGTTTAATAAGGTCTATAAACAAACTCATAAAATTGTTTGAAAACTTCGTATCTGTGGACTAATTTTACTCTCAGGGAAGTTTATTCCAAGTGCCTTCTTTGACTGTTGAGTACTTCTGGTGTGTGAAATCTAAGTGTCTTTGTCTGCAAAAGTCAGTTTGAATGTATATTATTGTTGTTGTTCCTTCTGATTAGACACCAGTAATGTGGAAGATGAAAAATGAATCGTTATTTACAAGAGAAACCCTTCACAATCTGACTTTTGCTTGAACAATGCCTGTGATAGGTAGAAACATATACTAAACACAATGGATACACATTCAGTTGTCCTGTGTGTCTCCCACACACGAACAGCGAAGCTGGGTGAATTTTTTTGTTTTGACCCTCTTACGCTCCTTCAGTTCCCCTTCAAATGTACAGTATGATGGAGCTAGGTCAAGGCTAGCATTCATTGAGTTCCTCATTTTATTACGCATGCGTGCAAAGTCGGTGATTGTTTTCCTTATGTTCAAATGGGAAAGCTAAATCTCAGAAATGTTCAATAATTTCTCCAAATCACACACCTGGTAAGTGATGGAGTCAGAATATAAACCCACATCTGTTTGAGTCCAAAAGCCAAGTGTACCTTGTCTAATATTACTCTTCATTAGTAGGTGGGAACCTGACCCCTTCTCTTTGAATATGAGTTTATCCAAGATAAACCAGGGCTACAGAGAGGAGCAGGCTGTCATAAAAGTTAGTGGGGCAGGTCATAGAATAAAAAAGAGCTAACTGGCCCATAATAGGGAGTCTCAGAATCCCACTGACAGTATCATCTTCTCCAGTGTCTTTGTAAACTTCTCCCAGCTTCTTTCTCTCTTTCATATTGCTCACAAGGAACAAAGTGTATGCGTATAGATCAGGATGTCCTAGACAGAACTCTTTATGAGAGGAGGTCACCAGTGTTTTGTACCCAGGGACAACTGGTGAGTTTCAATCACTGATCTTCTGGTTAGCAGCCAAAACTGAAAGCATTATGCCACCAGGGATGCTTCATGGCAACCACACAGGACAGAGTAGGACCACCCCGAGTGTAACACGTTGCGGGAGTAGAAAGCCTCGTATTTCTCTGGGGAACTAGCTTGTGGTTTTGAACTCCTGACCTCAACGTGTAACCACTTCGCCACCAGGGCTCCCCAAGATGTCCTTATTCAGGATTAAACCAAAAGAGAAATCAATTGCCATCTAGTACTTTCTGATTCAGCATGCCCATATAAGACTTCCAATGCTCTCATCTTTGCAGGAAAGGAGCCCTAATGGCACAGGGGGAAGCGCTCAGCTGAAATGTTAGGGGTTCAAACTCTCCCTGTGTGGTAGCCCGCATAATTAAAGACTCAGCTTTAGAAACGTAGTTCTAGCCTGTCCTGTGGGGTCACCATGAGCTGAAACAGACTCAATGGCAATGGATTTGGTTTGGAGTTTCTGCATTTGCAGAAGCCAAATGGCGCATCTGTGAGCCCACTGATGAGTTCAAACCAAGGATTTTTGGTGAACAGCCAAGCATGTAACCACTGTGCAACCAGGGATCCTTTGTCAATATTAACACTCCGCCTCCACCCCAACACACATACACACACCCACACACACATACACAACCCACATGGCCACTGAGTCAATTCTGACTCACAGGGACCCTATACCACTGAGTGGAACTGCCTCAAGGAGTTTCCAATGACGTAATCTTTAAGGAACCAAACTGCCACATCTTTCAGACGTGGCGTTCCTATGGGGTCTCAGTGCTTAACCACAATGCACCGGGCTCCTCTTAGTAAAGGCTGGAAAGGGTGTGTTATTTGCTCTTCCTTTTATCTCCTTTACTTATGAAAGCCCTGGAGGGACACAGTCATGATATCTTTCTCTATAATCATCTCCCTTGAGGGTACATAAAACCCAGAGGGTTTGGGGGGCCTTTTGAACAGTCCTTTAATTTGTTTTGAACTCCTGGGAGTTCCTGTGTACAAAAACAAGCTGAAATGACCTAATTTGGTGCAAAACCACAAGAATGCTATCGAGGTCTACTCTCAACCGTAGTGTTGATAACAATCAGGTCTCCTTCAGAGGCACCCCTACAAGAAATCCAGCTACATCTCACCGTGTGACACGTCCCCGCAGACCCAGCCCTGAACTGTTTCCTACCACTCAGTCTCACGTCTCGGTAAAAAGGCATATATACATCTGTGCTCATACCTACATAATTAACCACAATTGTTCCTAATAAACGCTGTCCCATCAAGCACCTAATTAATCACAAGTATTCCAAATAAACACGGTCCCAGCAAATAAAACAAGAACTGCATTCATTAATGATTATTAGCTCATTCAACTGGTTGTTTACATTTCACGTAACTAAAGCTTCTTAGTGATGGGGATTCAGTGGAGTTTAGATTTTGCCAGGAGTCGTTATTGTTATTCAGTTCCATCGAGTCAGTTCTGATTCATGGCAACCTATGTACAGCAGAATGAAACCCTGCCCTACCGTGTACCATCTCCACCACGGCCAGCATGTTGGAGCCCCTTGTGCAGCTACTATATCAATCCACCTCAGTGAGTATTCTGGTTGGTTTTTGTTTGTTTGTGTGTTTGTTTGTTTTTCTGCTTTCTACATGTCCTTTTCCAAGGACCGATCTCTTCGGATCACATGTCCAATAGGCATGAGATGAAGTCTCACCATCCTTGATTCTCAGAGCACCTGGTCTGTGCTTCGTCCAAGCCAGAAGTGGATGGTCTCTGTGCAGTCCATGGCACTTTCAAGAGTTTCAGCCTGCACCCTCGTTCCAATGCATCACTTCGTTTCCAGCCTTCCTGCGTGCATGTCCAACATTTACACACATGTGAGGCAATTGAAAATACCATGGCTTGGATCAGGCATACCTGAGTCTTCAAAGTGAAATCCCTGCTCTTCAATGAGGCCGCAAACAGCAGATTTATCCAATTTATCCAGCCTGTGCTTTCGTGACTGTTATTTCCACGAGCATTGATTGTGGAGCCCAGCAAGATGAAAGTCTTGACGTGAATAAGTAAAACCCTTAGCAGGCCCTCTTCTCACCGCCTCTGATGGTGGACGTGTGTTTGGCTGCCAAACGCTCCTGCAACACCACCAGCCTGCCTCCCAATAACCCTCTGATTATTAGATTACTGTGGAAGCTTTAAAGTGTCATTTAATCCCTCTTCAGTTTTTAATTGTCAGGGTCCTTGGAAAGAAAACCCCATGATAGAAATTGTTCATAAAGATCACTAATAAGTACAAAAGAATTATTTAATTTAATATTTAACAACAGCATTTGTTATGTTGTAGGAAGAAAACGGGTAAAAATGAAGCAAACCATACATTATGTGACCTTTCTGATTACTACATATTTGATTTACTGAACAAAGGCCTTGTACTATGAAATATATATATTAAATCAAAGAAATACTCACCCCATTTTAAAAATGTACAATCCACTGTCATCCAATTCAACTGGCCAAAACTCCAAAGCACAACCATTAAACATGATCCTGGATGAATTTCTTGGGTCCAGCTCAATTTGCTCAAGGGCCCCCTTTTTTTTGATCCACCGTATCATTCCTTTTGGATCCTCACGCTCCGCTGAAGATGGGCAATACTCCAAATAGAAAGGCTCCCCTGCCACTGCAGTCATGTGACTACGTGACCGAGAAGGTTCTTCAGAAGACCACCGAGAACAAGGAAAAAAGAACAGGAGTGTAGTTATTGTGCTTGGTTTTCCTCTTCTTTTGAAGTCCGTGACTTGAGAACTCTCGAGCCCTAAGAACTCTCAAAGGCACCTTCTTAGGGGTTTTTTTTATGTTAGGGTCAGCTTTCTAGCCCAGACGGTATAGGGAGTGAAGTGTTGCATTAACCGTTAACTAACCACAGGTAGCGGTTTCAAAACCAACAGCTACTCCCCAGGAGAAAGATGAGCGTTTCTGTTCTCATAAAGATGTACGGTCTCATAAACACTGCACAGTCTCGATGACTTGGGGCTGTGGGTTTTGTGGTGCTAGGAGGCAGGGGAGTTAAAACACTTTCAAGGCATGGATGAAGACAAAATTCCCACGGTTCCTCCCAAACAAAGAGAGCTGGGTCTTACCCTGTGGTAACTACAGGGAGCTTTCAAAAAGAAGAAAGGATTACTGTGCACCTTATAACTTATTCTTTCTTTCTTTTAAAAATCATTTTATAGGGGGCTTTTACATCTCTTATAATAATCCATCCATCCATTGTGTCAAGCACATTTGTGCATTTGTTGCCATCATTCTTTTCAAAACATTTTCCTTCTACTTGTGCCCTTGGTATCAGTTCCTCATTTTTCCCTCCTGCCCTCACCCTCCCTCCCTCATGAACCCTTGATAATTTATTATTATTTTCATATCTTACACCGACTGCTATCTCCCTTCACCCATTTTTCTGTTATTCATCCCCATGGGGGGTGGGCAGCAGTTAGATATTGATCATTGTGATATATTCCCCCTTCCTCTCCTCTCCTTCCCCCTACCCTCATGGTATCACTACTCCCAATATTGTTCCTGAGGGGTTTATCTCTCCTGGATTCCAGGTGTCAAGGGCTCTTCCCTATACCTGTGTACTTGCTCACACAGTGTCACACCTGTCCCCAACACTCCCAGCTGAAGAGAGTCACTAAGGAAAAGACAACGAGAAACCTAGAGACCTCAGAGTTCTTCATCCGAATCTTACTCTCAAACTCACTATCAGGCAGGTGTGGGAGGGGGTTGCTAAAGTTGCTCCTATGTGATTTAGGAAATATACAAGCTAGCTATTGCGGCTGGCTCCATGGAAGTAACCAAGAATTAATTAACATAATGTCAGTCCAAATCCAGGTATCTGTCACTCCCTTGTCTGAGTTTTGTCAACTAACCCAGACATTCTGGTTTTGAACATTTATTTCATCATGTTAGTGACACAAATCAGTGTTATGACTCTATGTAGTATTAACGCTTTTAGTCTCTATCATCTTTTATCTGGTGGGACCAGGGCACCTTTAAACTGGATGTGGAGAACGCTGCTGTTGTTCAATGGCTTAGAGTCGATTCCAGTTTGTCGAAACCTGCTGTAGATGAGAACAGAATACTTCTTATCCTCATAAACCTTATGCTTCCCCCATGGGGCTGCCACGTGGGGAAGCCACCTCAAGAAGGGCTTTCGCGTTCTCTCACTGACCCTTCACTGTGCCAAGCATGAAGTCCCTTCCAGGAACAGATCGCTAGTCCTTCCATTGAATCAAGTGCTTCTCCAAAGTCACGCAAGGAGGGGAAGAGCCAGCTCTCCAGTTAGGATTGACTCGTCAAGCAACACTCTGGCTCTAACTCAGTGTTGCTAATCACAAAGTAAAGAAAGAAATGGCTGAGATGGTGTGAACATTCTCTGAAAACACGGAGGTCAAATCGACCTCAGAGCCTAAATGTAAATGAACAGCAACTTTATGTTTAGTGGTTGTTTCTGTTTAGAATCTCAAATGTGCTTCTCAGTACTTCAACACAGAAGGTGTGAAGCATGTATCTATGTGTTAGTTTGAATTGATACCCAAAGCAGTGGTAGGTTACTAAAAGTTTATACTTTTCTCTTATAAATAGAATAAGCATATCATAAAGTATACTAATGGTATGTGCTATTTGTGTTTGAAATCTTTTTCATAAGGATATGTCTTTGAGGGTCATCCAGATGGTTGCATATGGAAGTGACTTATATTTGTTTATTGTTACTCAATATAGTATCCAATTGTACTCCAATGACAGTTAATTGACATTTGGGTTTTTCCAGACTTGGGCCAATATGGAAAAAAAGTTGCTGTAAACACAACTACCTGGGTTTCAATGGATATATGCAGTCTTTGCTCTTTGGAAGGAGCTAGAAATTTTCAAAAATCAATTTGAGGAGACAATGTAAAGCATTACGAAGAAATTTACAAAGATTTGGAGTTAGAAAAACAAAAAGAAAGAACAAGCTCAGCAGATCTGAAGCTGAAAGATGTAGACTGCATCAAAAGTAGATGGAAGGTATATACATGAACTGCACCAAAAAATGGTCACCATTCAGCCTGATCAAGAAATAGCAAACAATCAAGAATCAATTTTGTTAAATGAAGAAATCCAAGCTGTATTGAAGGCACTAGTTAAAAGCAAGACCCCAGGAATTGATAAAAACGAACTGAAATGCTTGCACAAACTTTGGCAATGTTGAGAGCACTCATTGGTTTATGCTAAAAAATGTGGAAGATGGCTTCTTGGCCAACCAACAGGAAGAGATGCATATTGGTGCCCAATCCAAGAAGAGGTAACCCAACAGAGTGCAGAGAATATCAGACAGTATCATTAATATAACATTCAAGTAACATTTTGCTGAAGAAAATTCAAAAATGGTTGTAACCATGCATCCATAATGAGCTGCCGGAGATTGAAGCTGGATTCAGAAGAAGGCATGGAGCCGGGGGTATCATTGCTGGATTCAGATGGATCTTCGCGGAAAGTAAATAATATTTACTTGTATTTTATTGCCTACATAAAAGCATTGTGTGAATCATAACAAATAGTGGACAGCATTGCAAAGGCTGTGAACTCCAGAATATTTAGTTGTGCTTAGGTGGAACATGTGCATAGACCAAAGACAACCCTTTAAACAGAACAAGGGATCCTGCAGGGTTTCAAACCAGAAGACTTACATCAAGGTGTGTACTGTCACCCTACTTCGTCAATTTGTTTAAGCAAATAATGTTGAGCAAGTAACCAAAGAAGATAAACGATATGATGAAGACAAAGCATCAGGACTGCAGGAAGGCTCCCTAGTAATCGGTTGTATGTAGGATACACAACCTTGCTTGCTTAAGACGAAGAGGACTGAAGCACTCTATGGCGCAGATCAAAGCCTACAGCCTTCAGTGGATTACAACTCAAGGTAAAGAAAACAAAAACCCTCCCAGCTGGACTAATAGGTAACATCACAATGAATGGAGAAAAATGTGCCGTAGTCAAGGACTTCAACTTACTTGGTTCCATAATGAGTGCTGTGGAAGGCAATGGTCAGGAAATCAAACGACAAATTGGCACTTGGCTAATCTGTTGCAAAAGACTGCGTAGAAGTGTTAGAGAAAAAAAGATGTCGTTTTGAGGACTAAGGTGCTCCTGACCTAATCTAAAGTATTTTCAATCACCTCAGATGCATGTAAGACCTGGACGGACAATGGATAAGGAAGACCCAAGAATGATTTCTGCATCTGAAATATGGTGTTGGAGAAGATAATTGAAAATACTATGGATTTCCAAGAGAATAAACAAACCTGTTTTGCAGTAATCACAGGCCAGAATGCTACTTAGAAACAAGGCCAGTGAGACTTCGTATTACATGCTCCAGGCATGTGGTCCAGAGAGACCGGTACCTGGAGGCCATCATGATCAGTGAAGTAGAGGTCCACAGAAAAAGGAGAACTTCCTCAATGAGATGGATTGCCTCTGTAGTTGCAACCATGGTCGCTGACATAACAACTATTGTGAGGATGGCAGAGGACCAGGAAGGACCTTGTCGTGCTGTACCTAGGGTCAGTATGAGTTGACAGACTCAATGACACTGAACTAGCAATCGTTTGAAAGAATCTACTCTCGAACACAGATACTAAGGGGTTGATGGTTGACAGCTGAAAGCCCACATTCATAGGCAGTAAATGACGTTAGCTACCCTCTCTTTAACATCAGAGGCCTTGTTGGTTATCAGAATACTTGCTAAAAATAGCTTACCATTGAAGAAATGAGTAAGATTCAAGATGTATTGCCATATATACTTGAGTATAAGCTGACCCGAATATCAGCTGAGGCACCTACTTTTACCACAAAAACTGCACTAAAAGTGTGCTGAAAAACTCACCTTATACACGAGTATATACAGTATCAGCCCAGAATAGAAACTTTTATTCTTGCATAAACACAGAATAAAAACTCATTAAGGCCAAGAACCTATACCTTTCAGAATGAAGAAGGTCTACGTTAGGCCTGTGTTTGGAAATGTTCTGAACTCAAGCAATTACAGGATGCTGTCACCCCACTCTAATTAAGTTCAAATGTACTTAGAATAATATCAGATAGTCTTCAAGTAAGCCTTCCATAAAAGGTGATCTCCAAGCATATAAAATGACAAGAAGCTGGGACTTTAGCTATAAGCTGTGTCACTTTTTTCCTGTGCCTGAAAAAACATGCCTCCATTGTCTGATGGGAGCCAGGTTATTAGTGGAGGTCTATAAAGCTCGTAACTCATAGCTAACACCTTGCTGCACCTTAATTTTTCACTCAGCCACTTCTGACAGCTCATTTGCTATCAGGAAGAACACACCTACTGCATTCTCTTAACAGGTGGCTGATGCCGCTTCATCTGGACATCGATGATATACAGATCCACTTAAGTAAACGTTCCCCCGTTGGATTTGTATTAGTTAAAATGCCGATAGCTAAACTCTGCTAGCTATTTATCGGTAATCCTCAAAGTAAGGGATGTGTATTCATATGTTTTATTGTTATTTCTAATTGCCAAGAAGTCAATTCTGAAACTTGGTGTTCACAGCAGAATGCATTCATTGGATGACGGTCACCCCACCCGTCAGAAGTAGATTGTCAGGCCTTTCTCCCAAGGTACCTCTGAATGAGTTTTGACCACCCCCCTTGATGCTGTAAGTCAACCTTTAAGTCATGTGTGCCACTCAGGGGCACTTATAGGTAAGAGATCAAGGCAAATTCATGTGTGTGCTCCACCTTCTCGACCAAGCCTAAGTAAACGAGTACGGTAAGGGGTATTAACTAATCACAAGTCTCTTCCCCAAAGAACCCTGCATGGCCTCAGAGCTCAACTCAAGAACAATCCCCAAGCAGTCAGTGGTAATCAATTATAATGAGTGGTTCACACCTGAAGTGATGGCTAGTCGATAGCCACTTGCTGTGTGTTGCTTCTAACTTTAATATTTTATATCATCCCGTTCACGTTCTTCATTAAAGAGACAAGAATCTTTGTCTTTGTTTCTAGAAAGAGGTAGCATGTGTGCAACTTTCTAAAGTACCAGTTAGAAACATGACTGGCACCTCCTCACTCTCAAAGAGCATAAAGCATATTTTCATCAGACCACTCTAATCTGTTCTAGGAAACAAATTTTCACATGCTGCTCTCTACCGTGCTCCAGAGGTCTGAATGGTTTGTTTTTTTCTTTTCTCCAATAAGGCTGTATGAACCCTTCTTATTGGATCATGCTGATATGACCCTTCCACTTCCAGCCAGGAATGTAAACCGCTTGGGAATTTTCTCGAGTGAAATGGAAACATCATTCATTTGAGTGCATTTCAGACCCTTTGGACCATCCTTCAGTAGCCACCTCCATTTTATAAAAAACAAACCTTAACCTCCATATCCTCTGTAGACCACTAGTGAAGTTGGTTTGCGAATAATTGCAATCACTTACCAGAGGTGTTAATAGCCATAAGTATGGAAAGTGCCCAAAGCAAATCTCTAGAATGCATGCTTAGCATTCTCTTCCAAACCACTTCTCTGAAAAACAGAATAAGACAAGTTCAGGGAAGACTTTCAAACAAAAGCATGGCTGTTCTGTGATCAACTGACACGTTGCCATCATAACAATCCCATAGGACAGAGCAGGACCGCCCCCTGGGCTTTCCAAACGGTACATCTTCATGGGAGCAGAGAGCCTCATCTTTCTCCCTCTCTGTCCTGTGGAGGAGGGTTCACAAAATCCAGTTGCGTACACATCACACAACCTCATTGCCGCCGAGTCAACCCTGACTCATGGTGACCCCACAGGACAGACTAGATTGCAACTCTGAGTTTCCAGGTCTGGAAATCTATGTGGGAGCAGAAAGCCTTATCTTCCTCCCATGAGGCCCTGGTGGGTTCTAACTGGTGACCTTTTAGCCAGGAAACCAAAGCATAACCCACTTTTTCAGAAAAATGAACCAGGAAATTTCATATCTCTTAATACTCTGACAGTAAATCTAAAAATGTTCATGCTGAGTTGGATTTGATACAATTACAAAGCAATGAATGTCAGCATTCTTAGGAAATGCTTAATATTTTATTTGTCTAACACAATAAAGCCTGGTTCATTTTTGGTCTGGTCTACTAAATCCTAGCTGCCAAGGTCAAAATTGAGAACAATGATATTTCTGGAAATCTATCAATTTGTGACATATAGAGGTATGTATGGTATAGTAATTCTTTTCTTGTAGGTATATGTGTTTGTTTATATGTATTCTTGGCACAATCTATCTTTCCCTTTTTAATGTTCATTACAATTTGAATTAGGTATTGATTTGTGGGTTGAATTTTTAAATATTCATCTTTTTTCTTCAGAATTCAAGTTTCATAAATTTAAGAATTAAGTCCATTGTTCTCATAAATGTAATACTAAATCTCAAACCCTGATGAACTGTGCAAGTATGGGCAAGTTACTTACACGTTTCCATGCCTATATTTTTATTATTAAATACAGATGATAAGAAGCTCTGCCTCCAAAATCATAGAATATAAATGTTTCTCAAGTTTGACAGGGTGCAGGGCAACCTCTCCTACGCGAGTCACGCTCTTCCGCACACCAGCTTGCACCCATCTCCTCTCCCATCCCCAACAGGACCCTCAGTGCGCAAGCCCTGGATAAGTTGAAGGGTTCACCCACCACCCACCACACGTCTACATCAGTTCTTATGTGTGACGTCATAAAAAAGTCGGTGACTTTTCAAGGGATAAATCCTAATACAGATAACAGGGAGACATAGGTATGGAAACTGCTAGCTATTTATAATCAAATTCGAACAGTTTTGATGTTTGAAACATCCCCACAACCACACCCATTTTATAATAAAATCTATCTCTTCTTTTATCGTGGGTAAAGAGGAAAAAATGTGGTCTCCTTTATGTCACTCTCTGGTTAAGGTTGACTCAGTTTGAAAAAGGCATGGCTTTTTGTTTATTTGTTTGTTTGTTTAAAGGCTACTCAAAATAAGATTATAATGAGATTACTCAGCATTCTGATGGGTTAAGTCTGAGTTTAAGCATGAGGCATGTTAAGATTCAAACACGCAATTTACCTTCCATTTACACAATACATAAAGGGGGAAAAACGTGATCCTAGAAAATGTCACCAATATCCTATCAAGTATTAGCAAATTATTTGTAGGAAGATGTGCACATTAAATATCTTAAATATAGAAACGTTCCAGGTGTAACTGTCTGCTGTCACCCTTGGTGTCGACGTACCTTTTAGCTTTCCAATAACTTCCACGTTTCTTTCTTTCTCCTTTCTTTTAAAGCATTGCTCTGATTTCTAAAGCAATAGAAGCACATAGTAGGACATTTATAAAAATGAAAACGGAAAATAAAATAATCTCAGCATGCATAATAGTTTAACATCTTTCCTGGACCTTTCCTATATATTTTAAAATAAGATAAGGATGTTCTATCCTGATCCATATTCAGCATTCTTCACTTAATTCTCTATGATGCCTGTCCCAGAAATATCTGTTAACAAACTTGTAATTCTCATAGTTTGAAAACCTGGTCTCTACGGCCCAGGTAGATAGATTTGAATCACTAGTCTCACCTCTACCCAGTAACTAAGCTTGAGCAAGGCCCCTGCTGCTCTGTGCTGCTCGTGTTTGCTCCACGGAAGGGGGAGGACAGTACTACTTCTCAGAGGGTGTTCTTCACTGAGTGAATGTGACCTAGTATCCGGTGAATAATAAATACCACTTAAATATTAGTTCCGTTTCGATTGGCTGCATTTCTTCTTTCTTTCTTTTTGTTTAATTGGTTTATTTAATATTAATCATTTTATTGGAGGGGCTCTTACAAAATTTAAAATGGGGCAAAAGAGAAATAAAAGGACCAGGTGTTAGAGGTTAACCCAACTACGCTTGTAATAATCCACTTTCCATTGCACTTTGCATGATAGCAAGGTTATTCACATGTATTCAGGATCCTCTTTTTATTCAATACTTTTATTGGGGGCTCTTACATCTCTTATCACAATCCATACATTCCTCCAATGTGTCAAGTACATTTGCATATATGCCACCATCATCATTTTCAAAGCGTTCTCTTCCCACTTGAGCCCCTGATATCAGCTCCTCATTGCTTCCCCCTCCCTCCCCCCACCCTCCAATAAGAGCCCTTGATAAGTTATAGATTATTTTTTCCATATCTTACATCATCCTCCATTGCCCCTCACCGACATTTCTTATGATTTCGGACGTAGAATCAGTGAGTTAAAAATACATTTTAAATGAAAATAAATGCAAACTACCAAACTGCATTGCAGAAAGACTGTAATAAGGGATACCGTCTAAACACGGCCCAAGGAACCCCACAAGTGGTGCGGCTCAGCACCGGGCTACCAACTCTAAGGCCAGTGGCTTAAGGCCGGCAGAGGCTCAAGGGGAGAATGGAGCTGTGGGCTTTTGTAAAGATTGACAATCTCAGGTCCTTCTGTAGGATCACTGTCTGACTCATAACCTACTCCACGGCAGTGAGTTTGGCTTTGGGCTCTGAGTCAGAAACAACTCACAGGCAGTTTCCACGACTGTGACGCTTGACGGAAGTAGAAGTGTCATCTTTCCCCCTTAGAGCAGCAGGTAGCTTTGCACTGCTGTCCTGGCAGAGAGCAGCCTACGGTGCAGCCCACCACGCCACCAGGGTTCCCCAAGACAGTCTCCATATAACACTTCCTTGCAAGAAAAAATGTGTTCTCTCTCTTTTAAATAAAATTGAATAAAATGGTATTCCTTTTAGTGCCTTTTAATCATGTATGTCTTTTATTACACGTGAGGCAAAATATTAAAAATCCATTTTTTTCAGTTATTTTGCTTTCATGTCTACAGGAAAATGGGTTTTAAAACTGATGTAGCCAAGTCCACGCCATGGTGTCATAGTAGGTTGCACATTGCGCTGCTAACTACAAGCTCAGTAGTTCAAAACTACCAGCCTCTCCACAGGGTCAAAATGAGGCTTTCTACTCCAGTAAAGACTGACAGCCCCAGGAATGCACAGGGACAGTTCTACTCTGTCCTATGAGCCAGGATCAATGTGATGGCAGTGAGTTTAGTTTTTGGATTTGATAGCAAAATTGATACTACTAGTTAATATCTGAAGCTTCTTTTAAAAAGTCCCACAGGGATGGCTGGGTTAGTGATGTCTCAACATCCCAATGTTTTTAAATTCCCCCAGGTAATTCTAATATGCAAACAAGGCAGGGAGCCACTTAGAGTATTTAAAAAGAAAGGTCACACACTTTCCCAACTCATCCAACAGCATGAAGTTTCCCTCTAAGTGAAAAAAAAGTGAAAAAAAATAGAGGTTATCTGCCCAAATTCTGTGACTTCTAAACTTGTAAGACAGGGTAGAACTAGCCCCGTGGGTTTCCAAGGGTGTACATCTTTACAGGTGTCGAAAGCCTCCTCATTCTCCTTCAGAGTGGTTGGGGGTTCCCAACTGCTGACCTTGTGGTTAACAGCATACCTTAGGACCCACTACACCACCAGTGTTTCTTTACCACGGGGGTAGAAGCCTCCTCCTGAGCCCCTGGCCCTGCTCAATAAGGGCTATGTCTAGACAAATATCCTAAGCAAAGTGTAATTCTCTAGGGAAAAAAAATCAAAGAGAACCATAGGTGTCAAGCCATTTCAAAGATCTTTCCGATAAGAAATCTGAGACCTAATGTGGTAAAATGGCTAAACCCAGATTATATCCAGTGAAATCTGAATCCCACATAAAGAAATGTGGATTGCTTCAATGGAAAACATTGTTATTAGCAAAACATGTAAGTTACATAAATCACCTTCATACAAACCACAGCAGATGACTTTTAAATGTAATTATGCCCCAACAGTGTTTGATGAAAAGGTGTTTCTCACTCTGTGCAATGACAAAAATTAAGAAGGGGAGAAAATGATCTTGGACATAGCACACCCAAGCACACCTACACAATGCCCCCCACACACACACACACACAAAAACCCTCTAAGAAATGAATTAGTGTTTTTTTAAGCAAAATAATAATAATAATAATAATCACTCTCAACCACAGATTTCTTGTCACACAATGACTTTCTTATGTGTTCTATGCTTTTCCTCGGCTCTACTTATGCACAAGCTAGTTTTACTACCGAGAGCACCCTTCTCCCTTCCTGCTGCTTCGGGCTTCCTACAATTCTTGCCGCTTGGCTCAATGAAGTTCTTCAAGTGGCCCTGCCTCTAAAGAGGGCACGTCTCTCCCCAAGCCTGTGCCAGCACACGTTTCCATTAGTCTTCCATGTGTTGCCACTCGTCGGTGGGTTTCCTAGAGGCTGAGGTGCATGAACCTGAAGAGCTAGTAGAAGACAGAGCAGATCTCCAGACCTCAGTGCTTAGCAAGTCTATCCACCAAGTCCAATTCTCCCTTCGAGGGTTTTGAACACTTAAAGACATGATGAAATTGCTTAAACAAATGTTAAGCAACTGCTTACCAGTATTT